AGTTCTGGTACATTTTAGGTAATCAGCTCGTGGTCTGTAAACGTACTTTATTGCTTTTAACTTTAATTTCCTTTCCTGCGCTGTTTCTGTTCTGATAGCAACGATCCATTAAGTCTCAACTGCCGATAAATATATTTCATAGGCACTTCTGTCATCCGGAATATGTACATTAGTGGGATGACCCCCCACTGCTCCAGCGCTAATACTGCAACAAGCGAGCACAGAGCTGGTTCGGATCGCCGACGGTTAACCGGATATCCTGACCGATCCCTTGCGTGATTTTCCTGTCTCCAATGTAATTATGATTTTGTATTTTAAAACATATAGCAGTTTCTCCCTCTCTAATAACAATCACGTTCCAAACAAATCAATTATTTTAACTTTCTACAGCTGAAACAGCAGTTAGATAACTTATCAATCAGTCTACTTAGTTTAGTAATTCACCTCGTTACGCAATCTGTTGCATGAGATTTGAGGTTATCAACGCGGAAAAGTTGGTGTGTTGTTCTGGGTGTGAGGTCGTACAGATGTGTAGGTGTCATTATCAACGTTTCGAAGGAGAAAATCGCCTCCATCTTCAGGACGAAATGAGTCAAATTTGGGATGTGAAGCGTCATATGGCGGGGGACTGTTTTCTGTGTTTGAGGTCGCACGTGCTCTCAGTGTCCACGGAGCAAATCGATCCTTATTAGGGTCTGCGGTGGAGTTTAACTTTTCATGGCTTCACACCACCTTCTTCCTGTCACTTTTCTTTCTATTCCCTTTGGCCGTCTTCCGCGCCCTTTACACCCCCCCCCCATCTTGATTCACTTTATCGTCAACATGGAGGGGATATTTTCCTCCGAAACGTCTGTAATCACCAAAAGACTACAGGTTGTCACAACCCAGAAGACCACAATCAACTATAAATTACCTGTTTATTCAGTTAATCATTCAGCCACGCAATTATGCATATGTTATTAAATCATTTACTTAGTTATTGAATAAGATGACGGTGAAGTTATTCAGCAAGCATCTTAAAGCGTAAGTCGGTTAAATAATCAGTCATTCAGCAAATCATTCAGCGCCCCTGCCTCGTCTATCCGTCTTATCTTTTCGACGCATTAAGACCAACAACTCGCAACTAAGAAATGATTTCAATATTTTCTGCGAGCTTCTTTACATGGGTGACATTTATTACCCTGTGACTCACTTAAAACGCAGCCCCGAAATAAGGCAGTTATCAATCAAACATTACTATAAACCCTTTTTGAAAAGTCGCCTTGTTTTATTTCTGTTTGTAGCACCATGTATAATTGCACGCGTCGCTGAGGAAAAATAATAAACTTTGTAATGTTTCGTGTCATCCAGATCTAAATCTGTTACCTTCCTGTCTCCTCTCTGAAACACTAAATATTAATAGATTCTGGACCACATTTATAATTACTGGGCTTCTGGACTTTGTCCGTCGTCCGATATTCAAAAACACACAGAGTTTCGGAAACTGGATCTGTGATCGAGATCAGCCTCTTCATTTTACCTGATGACCGAAACAGAACCATTTTCCGAAATGTTGGGTGTCGCTGAATGTCATACGATGGACAAAGTCCAGAAAAACTAAAGCCTAAAATGCACAAATCAAAAATTGTACTTATTGTTCCATACGGGTGCAAAACTTGGTATCTCGTCCCGAGATGAGTTAGTCGTAATTTTAATCCTTCAAAGCAAATCGGCGACCACATGTACCACCTACTTTAACATCCAATAACTGTAAAGTATGCCCACAAAGTGTGTTAATGTTAATTACGATCGGAAATAATTCCCCAAAAAATCTAAAGTACTCACTTTATCACGATTAATTCTGAATCTGAATAAAAGAGACGGCATGATCATTGTATTGAAACGAAAACACCACATCTCATAAAACCGAGTTTAAAATCTCACATCAACAAAGTGAAGTCTTACTATCAAATTTCATCGAAATCCGTCAATCACTTTCGGAGATCGGGTGCAAAAAAACATGATGACCCCGTCAAGCGCATATTTCATACACATTGTGTAAACAACACTGTTTACAGTCCGACCTTTGTTTACATCAACACATCGAATCGGTACTGTAATAGCTCAAGGGCAACTTTCTCTACAACTTAGGACGCCTGAAGAGCCCTCGAGGCCGACGAGGCTGATTAATTGAATGTTCGCTAGTACCAAGTGCTTCCGGCAGGGAGACGCTGTCTCCCACCCTCATTGCACTTCAGAACCAACCTCCAATAATGTATTTCATTGGCTTTTTCTTCTTTGCCCTGTCTTACAGACAGACTGGTCTGCCAACAATGATTAAGAAAACCACATCTCACGTAAGTAAGTCTGTCCGTTTCTGGCCCCAAGCTAATCAGAATTGCAATGCCCAGTTGACTTACAGGTAGATATGAACGTTTCGGAAGAACCTCTCCATCACCAGGGCTATCTACATTTTCCTTCCTTTTATCACCTCAAAACACTTGTTATATTTATCCTTATTTTTCATCTTTTCCTCCACCCTCTCTCATATTCCATTATTTTCGTCAGTTTGATCTTCCCGTTCACATCTCCTTCACCCCGAAGTTCTACAGATACTTAAAAAGACTGATTCAGAATTAATTCTTAATTCAAAATGGGTTGCTCACTTTCCCACTACCGAACCGATTACCGAAAGGTTACCACACCTGCTTCAAACCTGCGAGATTCCGGTTTCAAATATCGGCCGGAGACCGTCTTTCTCAACTTGTTATTCATTCCATCACTATACACTATGAGCTACTAACAGCGTCCTTAATAAATCATAAATAATTATCTGAGTTACTGAAACTGATAATTAGCCTGGATTATACTGAATACTGACTACCGTCTTCAGGTTAGGGATCATCACCATACCAGGTGGCACACTACTGTAGACTGCACAGCAACTTATTTACTATGAACACGTACACTTAATTTTGCTTGCGACACTTTGAAATACAACATTCTGTCGATTTTCCATAGCTTAGTTATGTTTACTGAAACATGATCACTGAAATTATTAGATTAGAATGATGTTCACATTAGGAATAGATACAGCACGTTGTGCTGTTTGGTTGATGATGTTCACATTAGGAATAGATACAGTACGTCGTGCTGTTTGGTGTACAGTCGACATGCGTTACCAATGCTGTTTAAAACCGTTTCATAAACATACATTTGATTCCCTTAGCAATTCACTTATCAAATTTCCGTTCTCCCTTACCTGCAAAATGTGTGTCCACTGTCCTCAAACTTATTAGGATTGTTTTAATAAGCACAGACTTCATAATAACTACCGATTCAAATAAGGAAGCACTTCACTTTGTCACAAAATGGCAACTGCGGTCTCCACAGACTAAATCACTATCAACCACTCATTCCATCCTCTATGACAAAGATTACTTTCTCACAGATTATTCGTCACGCCAAACGACTAAACCACAAAGCAATTGTTTTCCACTCATAATGTTATTTCTTTCGTGCTCGGTGAGAAGGGCTGAAGTAAAAAGTAATTTATGATTTAATCTGTTCTTACAGAGGAAAATGTACTGCAGTCCTCATCTCGTGGTGCAGTAACTCGGAAGGAAATATTAATTCACACTACCCTAATAACCTCAAATCCTTGTATCTGTGGTCCTTGATGGTTCACTTTTGTTTTACATTTCCAAATCGTTCTATGGAACACTGGATTTCTCTAAATTGAATTTTCTAATGATGGACATGACAATGCACACCAATGTAAAAATTAATAAGATTACTTATACAAAGACAGTTTGTGCCCACATAATGTCTTTTATGTAAAAGTTGTGGTTCAGGAAGGTGGATTTCTGAATGTATTAAGACTAAATGATTCTTTTACAAACACGTAACAGTGGGCTTCGCATGATTATTTTCACATGCAGCAGTAATAACAGCAAAGAAAAGGTCAGACAAAGAAATGTAAGAACCATATTTCAGCCACTGAATGACAAAGGAAACACACCAAGAATTAACACAGAATCTCACAAAAGTAAACATTTGAATTACTTTTACTAAATGAGGAAATGTGGCAAAAAGGGGTGAAATGTGCCAAGAGGCCCATCACATGATTTTTTTTAAACTTTTCAAACCTGGTAACATGTTTCTTTACATTAGGGAATGACAACAAAACTAAGTTGATAAAATTAAGAGATTTGGGATTCACTTGTTACTACACACATGTACATGTTCTTTCGCAGAGAGAGAGTCATGACACAGCATAGTGGCTAGATATTGGCTTCTCGCCTTAGAGACGCAGGTTCAATCCTGAGCGGCTGCAAGAAAAACTCATGGCGCATGGTTCAGCTTTTTCATCACATCATTCAGCTTTATCTTGTTAATCAGCACTCTTGACATTTTCCCCCTTTTTATCTCATCATCCCACGACATATGTAAGCAACATTTATCATAACCTGTCCTAAGATAGAGCTTAACCTTTGATTCAGGATGTAGCAGGCCATCAAGCAAAGATTATGAGTACACCACTGAAGCACAGTTATCCATTCTTGTATACTTACTGGGATGTTAGCGGCAGGTTTAAGTAGCACTCAGATCTGCCGTCTATGGATACACTGACTAACTTCAATTAATCCTTTCCCTAAATGAGAAATGTTCACACATGTTGCAATCTGACATACGTCGGATATGGAAATACACGTCACAGTGTGAGTTGGATATCGGAGTAAACACATTAATCTGCTAAATAATTTTACTTATCCTCTACAAATGCCAGTTTGTTTAAACTGCTTTTAAAATGGTACAACAGACATAAAGTATACATACATTAATACAGAATCTCTTCCTTCATAAGTGCACGTGAGAGCATACATGTCTCCGTAAGCGACTAAAGAAGAAAGAACCGGGAGCGGCATTCTTCGAAGGTGATACCCGGACACACAGAAATGTTACAACACTGTACAACCTTGGAGTCAAGACTACATCATGAAAAGCCCCCCAAAAAACATGAATAAAGGACACAAACAAAATATTAATTAAAGAGTTTAAAAAATTCATTAAAATAAATTACATTTTTGAGATTATTGCAAGGTTTTCTATTCTAATTACTGAACAGTTCTACATAAAATGCTTACAGAGTAGGGTCCCACAGAATAGTCCGGGAACACTGCAGGTCATCAGTTACCCGATATACCTCTTTCGATTAAGCAGAACAACATCTGAACAAGTGTATTTCAAACACCAGAATAACTTTGCAGCAAATCAACGGCACTTTTTGTCTACACCCTTATTTAGATTCAACAACTCATGGAAATAAAGGATAATTATAGTATCCCTTTACTGATGATTGTCTGCATAATTAATAATCTGCACTGCTTGTAGGTTCATACCAATATGAGCGGCCAACGTTCTTTTTCTTTTATCATTTTAATATTTCTATTTCTGATGCTCCAAACTATAATCATATCCAACAAGTTTACGTAACTAATGACCTGCTTCAATAGGGGATGATAAGAACAAAGCAAAAAAGAAAGAGCGATAGAGAACTTGACTCATACAACATATAATACACCGTCAGTCAGATAAGAGTTCAACTGTGCTGCCAGGTCTCTTGTACCTATCGAACTCTCGAAGTGCCTCAAGAATGCGGTCTATCTCAGCTCGGTACGAGCACAACTGGCGGTTCTTGTCAATCAGTTTCTCCCTCATAGTGGCAGCACTTCTGTCCTCTTCGCCGAGCGCGCGCTGCTCTGCATTGCGTCGTACAAGGTCACGCACCACTGCCCGAAGCTTCTGCTCACGAGTTTCATGTCTGTGCTCCAGTTCAGATAACTTCTCCCTCAGTGCCTCGTACTGAAGCATCTCCTGCATAACAGTAACAAACTGAAACTGCCCATCTGCCTCCAGCTTCCTGTCACTACATCCCTCTTAAGTGTAAATATTCTCAGCGCCCTCAATCTGTGCTCACAAATTAACACGAGAGACCAAGTTTCACATTCACGCAAAACAAAAGGTAAAACTAAATAATACGTTACCTTGTCTGATTAACATGGCTCTGGGCAAAAGTTTTGCTACTAAATTCTCGCTTAAAAACTCAATACTTATCGATACTCACCGGAGTCCGCAAGCACTCAAGGTTAGCCACTTTCTTCCTCAGATCCACATTGCTGTTTTCCAAGTGGTCTCTTTCTGCTTTCAGTACTTCAATCTCGTCCCGATATTCGTTGAGCCTGCGAACACAGAAGCCATACATCCATCATATTATTACATTCGAATACTTACTACCGCATTGGACTCTGAGACACGGAAGAACTGGGGGGCAGCTTTCAAGAATGCCGAAGTTATAACCGTAAACTTACTGCTTCAACTGATCCTTGAGGTGACTTATAACAATCTGCTGTGTGCTAAGCTGGCCCTGGAGGTCAGCAATGCGAGAACTGGAATGTCGAGTCATATGATCTGCGATGAGACGGTCCATTTCTGCCTCATGGTGCTCTTGCAGCAAGTTCAACTGCAACAAGAACATTGATGTGCAGTTCAAGGTCAAAGGAAAGATCAGGTTTGGCATTAGATTGATGTCAGTGGCCACCTTTCTGTCTCCTGGATACAAATCTGAAATGTTACAACAACAAAAACATACTTGGTAGGTGTCAGAGAACATACTAGGCATGCGCATGACTACTCGTCTGAAGTTTAGTATGTTACAGAAAAAAAAAACTCAATACTTCCTCTATTTAGTAGCGCAGGCTGATGTAAAAGATTTCTTATACTTACATCCTGGAGACGTTTCGTCTGCAGACCTCGGTAATCTTCCTCGACACGCAACAGTTCCTCGCGCAACATGCTGTTCTCTTGCCTAAGTCTCTTTACGCATTCTTGCGGATCAGCAGGCGAAGGCTCAAACCATGTTGGATCGTACACCTTACTGCCTGACTGATGACCAGTTTCATTCAGCTCCTCCTCTTTTCCTACTCCTGCAACATTTCACAGATGGTTTTTCTAGCACTGACAATGGTTGAAACATTTAAAATCAACAACAACAAAAATTCGTCCACAACAAGTTACATGCACTTCTGTCAGGCATATAATTTTTAGACGAACACAATGCACAGGGATGGAAAGATACCAGGCAACCAAAAATTTCATGATTGCTATCAAAAGAGCAACATAGCTGAATATATTCTTTACCTTAACGTCCAACTTCTTTCGGCCTGGCTCTTATAAATTTTAGCTGCTCCTAGGAGTTGCAGGCATCTTTCCATCCCTGAGAAAGAATAAGCGATTAAGTGAATAAGTGATTACCTTTAAAACTTTAGTGTCAATGTTTATGAACATTTGCATGTAATTCAAGAGTTTACTTCACTATTTTAAATGCATATCATCCAATGGTGTATCATTCTTTGAGAAAGTTTATTTTCAATTTTCTTCAACCTAAATAAGTACTTATCTTCTATGTATTAACTCCTTTCCCACTCTTTTTTGTGTATTTTTCCTCTCTTTGTCTTTGGTATCCCCAATGGTAATTATTTTCATCTGCATTTAGAAACCTCCCAAAATTAAAATACTGTCACTCATACATTACAAACATAACACTAACATTTTCAATACATAATATCTTAGATTTTACGCTTTCACAGCTAATAAATAAAAGAAAAACAACTGTCTTCTGAGATGTTGTCATGTAGAAGTTTAATGACGTTTCAGAAGTGGCTACTGCTGACGGCAGCAATGCCAGGGTTGTGACGAACCGATACGGAGCAGGACGAAATTAATCCGACAACCTTTAATGTACGCTTGGAAACAACTTCTCCGTTGTGTTTATTTCATTCGTTCTGTGCAACAAATGCACAGAAATATACAGTAAGAAACTACCTTACCCCTAACTCCTGGTTGTCTGGGAGGGGCTGTAATAACCCCTAGCTGGCGTTCTCGCTCCTTTTGCAATTTGCGGTTTGTCTTGGCAGATTCATCCAGGTCTCTACGGATCTTCACCAGTTCCTTGTCCTTAGCTGCCAACTCCAGTTTGAGGCCTCGTATTGTTGCCAGCAGATGTGCATCTTCACGCACAGCTAGCGCATTGGCTGAGGGTGCCCCAACACTGATAACAACTGGGTGTGCCGCCATCTTTTTACTTTGCCTTGCATCTCGTACTGGCTGTTCTTCTGCCTTCTTTTCTGCTGCCAGTCTTGCCTCATTCTTCTCTGCAGTTTGTCTCCACATGTGTGCCTGATGCTTTGCAGTTGCCAACTGAAGCTCCAGATCTGAAGTATGTTCTTCATACTTCAACTAAAACCGACATCGGTCTGTTTGTACAACGCATTTACAGCAATAAAGTAAGTATTTCTGTGGGGACAAATACACACAAACTACATTTAGGGGAATGGGACAAATACAGAGAACAATTTGCGTTAACCACTTAAGAATAAAGTGAAGTGGGTACAGTATTTTCATCTCAGGTTGCTTATATCTGGGCTCATGACCCAAGAGGGCATAACAAACTCTGTTCTTGAAATATTAACAAAAACATACATTCAATATTGGATGCATATGTATGAGATGTAAGGAGTCTCAAGAACAACGAAGTACCTTCATGGCCTGGAACTTGTCTTGGATCTCCCTGATGCTGGCTTGTGCATCTGTCTCACTCCTGGTTAGTTCCTGTTCCAGTTGCTGTACTCTGTTCTCAAGGTACCTGAAACGAGGTGGCAGATCTGTTTCCTCGCTGTTAGCTGTCAAAATCAGAGCTGAGATGGAGTTTGGGTGGTTCCGTTTCAAGATACGCTCCATTTCTTTCACCTAAAATGAAACAAGGCGAAAAGATAAATACGCTTCAGTGTTATATACATATTTTCCAAATATGTTCTTTTTTTATTTTCCACAACTCACTAGCCACTGTGTTCACTTAGTGCATAAACAAATCTATTGTTTCAAAAACTATTTTACTTCATATTTATTTAAATATTCGTGACATTAAGAATCTGTGTAATAACAGTTCTATATTTAACAGTGATCTATATTTTATATAATGTACTCATTTTTCATAACATGAGTTATTCAAAAAAATCCGAAGAACTTAAATTTGAGCTTCATGTAAAGTATGGCTTATATCTGATCACTATGCACCAAAATAAATTTATCCTGACAACTTTCAGTGTGAATACCCAATACTAAGTTTAATCTAAATAATTGTGAACATTCCAGATACGAAACACATGGATGAACATAAAATCTGGATTGTGGATTAATTTTATGCACTTTGTGCAATGAATGCATATAAAGTATTAATTACAATCGCAAGAGGTACAACGCAGAATAACAGATACTACATTTCTCATAAAACACTCCCTGTATTTTCTCACATTAATTTTGCCCTACGTAATTTTTGTTCTGGACATGAGAAGGAGCTTCATAACCTGTATTTTTTCACCTAATACTGTTAGAGTCCTTAAAATAAAAAAAAAATAACATAATACGTAGACCGAAACAAGGGATACTTGCCTGTCTGTTGAGATCCTGAATCATCTTCTTATCTTCTTCAATTCTGAGGTTATGCATCTGGATCTGCGCAACTTGCTTGGTACGTGCAGCCTGCAGCTCCGACACCTTCATCTCCAAGGCCCCTACTTGTAGCTGACTATCAGTCACCTTTGCTTTAGCTTCTGCCATTTGTTTCTGAGTTGACTGCAACTCTTTGCGCACCTTCTCCAATTCTGCTTCTTTATCGGCCAATTCGCTCTTGACTTGATCCAGTTCCTGATTCCTGGGGGTCACCTTCAGTGGTGGTGCTACTGCTTTGCTAGCAACACATTTATGCTTTTCTACCTCTTCCTGCAAAGCTGTGATGGATAACTTTAGTGTTTCAGCATCTCGTTCCAAACTGCCATTCTTATCCTGTATTAAGATAACAAACAGTAGTCGGAAACGGTGATATAACAACACTCAGAAATATTTAATCTGCTCCAGAACAGGATTACAACATGACAACAGTTTTAAACATTATACCATTTTTCTATTAATAAGAGCTAAATCATTTAGCAAAAGTTTATATAATACAATTATGCCAGGTCTTAGTTTCAAAACTTCATCATATTTTTGTTGAATAGTGGTCCGTTACAGCAGTAGGCATAAATAAATACTCGTATGAAGGTGAACATACGTGTGTGTATAGATACAGTTCCACACATTCAAACTGGAACGGCATGCCAGGCCACCCCAACATTTTTGTTTTAAGACCGTAACCCTGCTAAATACCATACCGTGAAGATGTTTAGAAAAGTGGATGTGGATATTCATGAATTTTTGACCTCAGCACTAGAAATAGGTGAGTGGCAAGCTTGTTGGTCTAGTCTAAAGTAAGAGAGAGCCCCTAGACCACATACCTATCAGAAACAAGGCTCGGCGAGCCTTTGTCATCCGGATGAGGTGACAAAGAGGCAGACGCTAGTTCCTCCAGGAATTCAAATCCATCTGTTTAGCCTGTACTTAATCACATTCCTCACCAAGAAATCCAAGCTCTAAAACTTATCACCATTAAACAAAACTGTTCCACATAGCACATCCTATTATGCCTCTTCGCTGGATGTGCAATGTGAAACAGGAAAACCCATTTAGGCCTGTTTTCATCAAAACATTAACCCACACCTATACGATGACAGTAGTACTTCTGGACATATCGGAATAATCACTCCTACATCTAAGACCGATATGTACATCTGATAAAATTAAGAAAAGACAACACCTCGCCCAAAATTGAAAAACAAATGGCATGAAACATCACCAAATGGAATCATATTTGAGTTTTAAGTTCGTAAATAATTTACACCTGATGATGGTTTTATAAAAACTGAAACATGTTGTGTAAAAGATGTTCCAAAATGTAAATCGATCAATCGATATGGAACATCAATGATATTTTATTATCTTAATTATAAGAAATTTTAAATATTGTGATAAGACGGATTAAAATAAATAATTGTTAAAACATTAAAATGACTTACTTGAAGAGACTGCAATTCAATCTGCAACCGCACTATAGTTTCATCTTTGTCTTTGAGTTGCTCTGCGAGTCTCTCCTCTTCCTGTCCTCGTCTTGCTAACGACAGCTGCCGTCTCTCTGTTGCAAAACTCTGTTCTTTTGCTTTCAGCTCTTCCTGTAAAACCAATCAGATGTTAGTTATACTCTTTTGTAGTGTTTTGGTTTATTTAAGATGCTTTCTTAGTTACCTAGTACTAAATGACATCGTGATTATCAGTGATGCCTTGGGAAGCATGTGGACTGGCATATGTACAAAATGAAAAATACTGTAAGTGTTCAAATCATAGCCCAGTGCATAAAAGTTCAGTTGAGAAGCTGATATTTGTTACACAGGTCAATCAATTTGCCACCTTTCATGAAACCTGAAGATTCATTACTACGCCACTAAGACTTTTTCCTGAGCCTGTTCTATTTGATTATTTAAAAAGCTACAACACACAAGTTAAATAAAAGTACAGCGAAATCCCATAAAAATCATCACATGAATAAGCACTATTTAGAATCATCTGTGTCACATTATATGGCGTCTGTACTCCACAGAAACTTCATTTATGCAACAGGAATACAAACCAGGTATTACCTAGTCAAATAAATTCTGCTCAGCAGCATATGCAACACCGTTACAAGTACGCACTGCTCACACTGTGCATCAAACATACAGTTTTCTACCAATTACAAATCAAGAATCACTCAGTACAACATATTTCCAAAGACCATACAATATTCTATAATCCTATGTAAGGTAATGCTACTGAACCATAGGAAAAAATAAGGTGGGGTAAAAATACAATGCGACGACTTCATACATTTTATTTCACAAATACATATTTTTCTATATTAATTTCTTCAGATATAATTTGCATACGACAAACTGCTGTTCAACCGGATGACGACCAAGTCTGCTCCTCAGAACACAAATTGCAGTTTCCAACTGCGGTCGATCATCTGCCATTAGCAATTTCATCGGCCAAGACCTTAACCGCGGCCAGTGACTCGCGGCCCGTGGGAATGATGTATTGTACTGGCAGAATAAATCCAAAGTATCCACGATCTCGCAGCTCGATGGTATACGAGTATTTGATGCCTGCAGCTCCCTTCGCCCAGTCATCTGACCCGCCTATTCAAAGTGAGACGCAAAGAAATGTAAACAAAATAACATAATTAAATTTAAAGCACATGCTTCCAGAATCTTCTACATATGGCTGGCCAGGTAAAAAAGATCGCTTCAAACTGTGTAAATGATGGGTGATAACACAACAGACAGATTAAGATTCTTGTCATATTCAGACATTTTAACCAATTCTGAAATTCTATGTCTTTATTTAAATGTTTCATATCATACAGAACAAATGGTAAAATAATTAATTTATATATATATATATATACACACACACACAGTAAGAGTCATGATTATCCAGTCTAAACAGGAATGACAGATGACAGGATAATCAAAAATGTTGTATAATACAGAAGACTAATTAGAACAAACAGGAACAGTAAAACATTATGAAAATTTCTTCAAACTTCGACTAATATGGACTGTTTGGGCCAATCTTACCTGAAGCTGGGTATAGGGTGGCTGCTGCTCCGCCAACTTTGTAACTAGCCCCACCTGCCTGATACATGGCGCTAGCAATCTTCTGACCGACACGACTCAGATCCGCATGGTCATGTGGATAACCTACGGCATAGCCCCATGGATGCAGGATGTATTGACCGTAGCTGTGAAATGTTACATATGCCTGTGTACAAAGAAAATATAATATTACCGTTATTATTTCAGCTGTATAGATGCCCCAATTGCTTAATTCCTTCTCGTAATCAGTATCACAAAGCAATTATAAACATGTTTTACTGTATTATCATACCTTCAAGGTTCCTGTGTGACTCGAAACAAACTTGGATAGAGCAGCTGTCTCTGGCTCAGAGAAGGCACTGCTGCCAGCAAAGATCTCCTTACAAGGTTCACGACTTGATCCTGCTCCACCCCACTTGTAGCCAAAGTTTCGGTTCAAGTCAATTCCCGCACAGTACCCAGAACCCCGCCGGTTCTTACGCCACAATCTGTCTATGCGGTGAGAGTATTCGTATCCATCCGGGTTCACAACGGGGAGGATGTACCAGTCGACATCCTTCACGGATTCACCGTGTGCATCACGATTTTCAATCAGCTCATTTATGATGTATGTAACAGACGCTGGAGCGATCCACTCTCGAGCATGAATGCCTGTGAATAGGAACTACAGTAAGCATTGGATACAATCCACAAAAGCCATCACTACATTGCATACTTCAAGGTCACAGCAAAGTCATACAATGTAACACGACAACAAGTATCAGCTTTGGGATCCTGGCTTGTGAAATTCAAGTACAATAAATAAAAAACTTGATAAACATTACGTTAATATTATTTTTCACAGCAAGCACTAAGAGATCATAAAATGTTTCAAAAACGCTGCCGTACGAGCTATGTAGT